CTTGAAAACCTGAAATGCAAACATCAAATGTAACAAACACATACTTAAAGCATCCATTTTGAACCTCAAGGTGTGTAGTGACCTTGCCATTATTTGCACTCTTTAACATATGCAATGATGAAGGAAGTTGTTTGTAATTGTTCTTTGAAGAGTCATAGAGTACTTCGTTTGAAGTGTTAGTGAACCACAATGCTTGTGTTGCACCCTTATTTTGCATGTGAGTCATTATAGATATGGGTCTAACGATCTCCTATGAACCTCAAAGATCTGACAACATTGTTTCTCCGACGTATATTGAAGTTGCTTGACTGTGTGCGCGTTTGTGGCTGCCAACTGAACAATTGTGCTTCTTGATATACTTTCTGATGATGAATCTTTGATAGTATTTTTATCACGGTTGCTCGCAACATTCACTTACAATTATCCCCTTTGCATTTTTGTACATATCTCGATCTATCACTCTTCAGCGTTGTGGTTTCAAAATTCCCATTCATAGCAACTTCTCTCAACTTCTTCTTTAAGTCCCTTCTATTATCAAACTCAAATCCAATGGACAAATCAGAGCCATCATCAAAAGTTCCATCAACCCCAACATCAATCTCTAGAGGATATACTCGCACATTTATATCCTCCATTGAAGAATCTGCAACATTATTCGGGACATCACAATCCGTTGTAGGAGTAAGACCACACTCATGAGTAGGAAGTTCGTGGGAAGGTACAATGAACTTTTGAGTAAGCAATGCATTCTATTCAAATTCAGAAGAGTCTTGTTCAACTATAACATTGCACTTAAAATAAGTATCTTTAAAACCAATTTCATCTTTCTCACAACATTTCATCACACCATATGTTGTTAAGTCCTCCACATTCTCTTCAAATTTTATCTCACTCACCTCAACATTTAGCACTGTAGAATCCTTTTCTTTGTCTCTAAGAAATACAGAAAGTGCTTTTTACTATCCAATATATGTATAATGTAAAATAATTCTGCCAAACTGTGGCATTTGATATGACACTTTCAACGAATGAGTACCCTTTTTATAATCAGTTTCCTCATACAAGCATTCCAAAAATGAATCAAATTTCGAATCGGATGCATCCCAATTGAAAGCGGCATTTTTTTTTCATTCAAACGTGTAGCCTCATTCTCATGTTTTTTCCATTCCCCATCATAAACAACATATATCAGCTAGGTCAAACGTGTAGCCATATGTGAAGGTAAAGAATCTTAAATTAGTGAGCATAGACAAACTAGATGTCAAATCTGTCAAAAATGTTCGGACAAGGTCAAACCCAGTCAAACCTAGACAACCATGGTCGAACCCATAAAAAATGCTCAACTAAGAAGCGTTCAAACCTATCAAAATGTTCAAACATGGTCAAAATCGGTCAAACCCAGTCAACCATGGTTAAACTATCAAATATGCCCAACTAAGGCGCACAAGTGCAATTGTGATCCATTGTTTAAAAAAAGATAGGTTAAGAGTTATTCATTACTGTCAACACAGGTTTTATACTAAGTAAATTTGTTGAAATAAATAGCTAAAGATACTCTAACTTACTTGGAAGCTAAGGAAGAATGCAAACAATGAAGATGCTAAAGAAGAAGAAGTTTTTGATTGGTGAGTTACGTTGAATTCAAACAGGAAGGTTCGAACATTGAAAGTGTAAACCATAAATCGAACCACTGAGGGGTTAGTCAGTCTCGGTCGGGTTTGATTTTGGCTAGTTCAATTTCACTCGGGTTCGATTTTTTTTTGTTCACTTCTTTTTTTACCTATGCATGATCGCTAGGGGTGGGCAAAAAACATAACCGATAAATCGAGGTATTTTTTTGTTAACCGTACCGAATTTTTTAAAGCTCGCGGTACGGTTAACCAACCACAAAAAAAAACCGGTTTATGGTACGGTTACGGTGGAAATAATGTTAAAGTCGGTTAACCGGTAAGTGAAATCTTGAATAATACTAGGTATCGAATATATGTTAACCTGCGATATGGTTTCCCTCCATTGCCACGGTAATACGGAGTAATAATTGATTATTGTGCTTCACACAGAATCAATTACACCATTACCTGCGAGTCTGCTACGTTATTCCATAGTGTACATTTGTTTACTAGCCAGTATCTTTATATTATATAAAGCAATTGGGTGGCCAATTGATTTTACAATTTTTCCTCCAAAAGCAATTGCGATGCTCAATTGATTTTGCAATTTTACAATTGAGTTGTTTGGTCCATCCAAGCACACAATTAATTCAATTAAAAGTCATTTATTATTCATACGGCTATGTATTTTATATTATATACATATGTGTAGGAGCCAAATAACCATTAGTAGTACTATAATAGTAATATATACTACCTTCATCCGTGGAAAGGTTCTTATCTTTATAATATATCTTTATCTTTATATTATAGAGGGCAATTGGGTGGCCAATTGATTTTTCAATCTTCTCGCCTGAAGCAATTGGAGTGGGCAATTGATTTTGCAATTTTACAATTCAATTGTTTGATCTATCCAGACACAGAATTAACCCTTATATTATATAGAGCAATTGGGTCATTTGGGTGGCCAATTCATTTTTCAATTTTCCCGCTTAAAACAATTGGGGTGGACAATTGATTTTACAACTTTGTAATTCAATTGTTTTGTCTATCCAAGCCTATAATTAATTCAATTAAAAGTCATTTATTATTCATACAACCACGTATTTTATATTATGAGCCCGTTTGGTAACATTAAAATTGGCTTACTTGGCTGATTCTGCTGAAATTTATGAAATTCTGGCTGAAGAGGCTGTATTGGCTGATTCTGCTGATTCATGAAAAAATTATATTTAAAATATTTGTTATTAATAAATTAAATAAAAAATTATATGAAAAAATAGCTAAAATGATCATCTACAGTAACTTCAGCCAAAACAACCAGAAAAATAACTCCAACCTTACTTTTTCTGCTTATTACAAACTTCAGCTCGTGAAATCAAAAGTTACGTGTTTGGTGAAAAGGCTGGCTGATAAGCCTGATAAGCTGAAAAAAGAGGTCACCAAATTGGCTCTACATACATATGTGTAGGACCCAAATAATCATTAGTAGTATATTATAATAGTATTATATACTACCTACATGAGTTGAAAGGTTCTTATATCGCAAAATGTCAAGATTATTTAGACAATAGTTAAATATGATTTTGCATATTTTGTAATGGAGTTGTTTGGCCCATCCAGACACGCACTTAAAAGTCATTTACTATTCATACGACCATGCAGTATTTCCGCTCTTAAATAATTGTAACATTAGAAATTTTACACTATTCACGTGCTCTATTATCACTATGTTTTATTTTATTAATGTATTAACAATTTATTTTTAAAAAATATTTTGTATAATTAAATTCCCCTCATTCTAAATTTTCAAAAGGTGTTTTTTGTGGTTTAATCAGTTTTTTTTTGTTAAAGTAAGAAATTGTGATGCTTTTTTCATAACATGATCATTGATCAATTTAATAACACTTCAAGTGTGGAATAAGTTTGTAACAAAATAATCAATCAATCTCTTTTTATCTTAATGTATATCGAGTATTCCCTAATATGCATTATTATTGTACGTTATAATAATTATTATCATTATTATTCAATACTCCCTAATATATTATGGGCAGATAAATAAGCATAGTGCCAAACTATCAATTTTATTACAAAGCCAACTTGAACAAGCTTTAATTTGTCAAAGGGATGATCGTGCTGTTGACTTAGCTCGTGCTGATGAAGTCCATAACGAAGTGTTATGGAGATCATTGGTAGAATGGTAGATAAGCTTTATTTTAGAGTGACAAGTCAGACAAGTTCAAATTCTAAAACAACATAAATATTGAGAGGTTTATATTTTGCTTTCATGGTTTTATGGTTTATTGGTTAACCGTTAGTGGTTAACTGAAATTTTGGTTAACCAATATGCGGTTAACCAATGTTATGGTACGGATAGAGGCGTTGAAAATTTAGTAACCGGAATCTCGGTTAACCGAAAATTGGTTAATCAAGGATGCCCACCCTTATTGATCACCATATTTGCTATGTTTTGAACTTCAGGTAAGTTGTTGTTTCTTGCCCTTTAAATTTTTGAGGTCTTACGTGATGGAAAACAAATTTTGTGTAAATTATTGGACGAGGATATTTTATTTTAAGAAGCAATCAACGTATCAAGTTACTCTATGTTCGATAACTTCAGAGAAACGACAGCTATATTATTTATAGAGTTTTCACGGACAAAAATATGATTAATTGTATTTTTAGACAAAAATATGATTAATCATTGTGTACAAGTAACTGGACAAGAGTCACTATAATGTATTTTAAGTGACAAGTCATTGGTAAATAACGAGTCATTGAGGATTGATCACTGAATATGTCACTTTTTTGAAAAATTTTAAGGTAAATTTAATTACATATCGGTTATTTATACTTTCATTCATAGGAACCACAGTGACTTTAAATTTTTTAATACGGAGTAGTTAATATTTTTAATAATAGGTCCACTATTGTTTTTAATGGGAAAAAGTGCAAATAAGCTCTTGAACTAACCGTAGAAGTGCAAAACGTACCTTTTATAGGAGGTTCTGTCTGGCCGTCGCCATTTGGAGAAATTATATGTGGAAGTTTTTGATGAATTTTTGTGAGCATCTTCTTCATTAAGTCTATTTTACCCATACCAAATTTCAGCTAAAAATTCAACCGGGAAGAGAGCCAAAATATTTTCTGAAATATAATGACCTGTTTAACTGCGCAATTATCTTCGAACATTTATTTGACCGCCTTTAATTTTTGATGGTTCAATAGATGCATGTTTTATACGGAGTATGTGTTTATAATTGTTAAATTATGATTTAATCTATTTAAGTCTATCATTTCAAAGTAAAATCAGTCCAATTAAATATGAGAACATGAAATTACTACCTATAAGGGTACTGTGCTAGTTTTATTTTAGAATGAGGAAAGGTAAAAATAAAGGAATAAAAAAAGTAGACGTGACCATGACAGATGGAGCAGATTAAAGTGGTGGCTGGGGAGCCATCGGCCACGTATCCTTGTGAGCCTTGTGAGAGACTGCACCCCCTGCGGCCCTACTGCCTCACATGAAAGCGGCGTTTAACAACTGATGAAGAATCTGAGTTTGGAGTAGGAAGTCTCCCAACTGCCCGAGCCTCTCTGGTGGCAGCAGCTACGGATATAATCATCTCTCTTTTGCTAATCTCTCAAATCTGAAAAAATGGCAACTCATGATCCAGAGCATCCCACTCTGTCTTCCCCTGGACAGGTTCGTCTTCTTGCTGCTGGCTTACAGTGGTAGCGCATATCTAATTGATTGTTACTATTTTCCAATTTTCTACAAAATTTCTACATCATTGTGCAGGAGCCTCTCCTTTACGGTCAACAGCGGCAAGTCGAGAATTATTCTGTACTCGCCTCTATACTGCCGTGAGTTTTTCTACCTGATTTGTTTTATCAATGTTGGGCCTATATGATTAAGGTTTGGGAGTTGTTTTTAAAGTCCTACCTCAAGTAAAGCCAAGACCTTGGCAAGACAAAGTACAACTGGAGCTTAAATCCTTAATAGGCTTGTACTCTGTATAACTTATACTGCATTCCTTGTGCAAGTCAAAGAAGAACTTGTTAATTAGTATGTGAGATTATGAACTGCTGTGAAACACTCAAACCTATATGATTTGATTTGAACATGAAATAAATGCCCACAACAAGTCTAAAACCAGAGCCCTTTCTTTCAAATATAGCTGCTATTGTTTCTTCTTAAGATGCTATCTATGTGGTCATGGTCTCACAGATAAAGAAAGAACATCATTAGTTAAATAAACACCTTATATTTGAGTCATATGTATAGGTATATTAGTTAAAAGAGTCAAATAAAGTCTTCTACTATTATGGAATCGTCATATAAGATCATGTACTCAATAAAGTACCATATAAATGTGTCTACTTATAAAAAGAAACCGGATGAGTCAAAACGACCTGTTGACAACCTCATAATCCCAATTTTAGCTTACACGTCAGTATTTTTGCCTTGTATTTAAGCCAATTCTGGCCAAATAATTCACGTCAGTCTTATAATCTAATTTAAAAAGATAGTCAGACGTACGCTAAAATCGGGATTACGAGGTTGTCAACAAGTTGTTAGGACTCATCTGATTGTTATTATAAGTAGACGTATTTATATGACACTTTCATAATTGTAGAAGACCTCATTTGACCCTTTTCTCTAGTATATTACTAGAGAGAGCAACAGGTTGGAGAATGCTAATCTGAAATTGCATGAATGAGGAACCATAGTTCTTTTTGGCAGAACCAATGTTTTTTACCGGTTGAAATGAGTGTGATCTTTTTCTATGAAAAATGGACAAAAATATTACCTCTAGTCTTTTGAAAGACAAAAAATCGCTTGTTTTCCCCTTTTCCAAATACGTGACTAACCTTTGTTTAGTTAGCTCCAATTCCCTTTCCTTGTAATCCCTATCCAACCTCTGTCTCCACCCCCTGTCAACTGCTGCCAAAAATCTCCATTGTAAACCACACCGACGACTACCAGAAAAGGCACTGGAAAAATTTCGTCATAAATATTTTCCTTTTTTCCTTTTTTTCCTTTTTCCTTTTAAAACTTGACAGAACTTTTTCCCAGCGGTCAAAGTGACATCCGCAGTAATCATCAGTTTTATGTCACTGACATAATAAACTAGCAGTGACATTTATGATTTCCAAATTTATTACCTTGTTAGTCACATTTTTGTCCATATGTAAAAGTAGTCACCTGTTTTGGAATTTAGCTTCAATTTAGTAATATTTAAGGACCCCCCCTTTTCAATTCAATAAATTTCTGCTTATAAATGACCTTTATGACTTCTTAAAGCAAATAAACTGTGATGAGCTACTTAATATATCAGATTCCTGTTCCCTGCTTTTGGAGGACTGCTCTATGGTTATGATATCGGTGCTACATCCTGTGCCACAATTTCCATAGAGGTTTTCCTTATTCCTTGTCTGGTTCAGAAAAGTTAAAGAAAATGTTTGTTATGTTTGATTAAATGGATGAGTGTAGAGGAATTAGTATTTTGTAAAAAACTTGTATTTCACATCAATTTGGATGTGATTATTATATAAGCGTCTACCTATAATAATAATACCAATAACAATGGTGATGATGATGATGATGCAGGACATATTGATATAAAAAGGTGAAAATGGAATTAAGAAAAAAATTACCCCACTTCCCCCTATATAAAACATTAAGAAAAAACATTACCAAACATATTGGAGTGAGAAATGAGGAATTTGAAGGATTTCACTGCTCCTCCACTTCCCCCCTACACCCTAAATCATCTAATCAAACACACACCACTCCTCCCTCCAAAATCCTCAAAGCAAACAAGGGCTTACGTTCCAAGGACTCTCCACAGTCTTTACAACTCTGTACTACTATAATCTATATGTTGGAACCAGTATGGCATTTGGTTAGCTTTTAATCAGTAAAACTTTAATTTTTTCTGCAGTCTGCCACATCAAGTGGGATTTCATGGTATGACTTATCCTCTGTGCAGCTTGGTCTCATAGTAAGCTTTGCAGTTCTCCATAGCATATCTTTGAGTTACCTGTGATTTTGTAAGACCATGGTTTGTTTAACCCGCTTTTCTGCCATGAAATTTTTGTGGCCCACTGATCATTACAGACTAGTGGCTCACTCTATGGTGCTCTGATTGGCTCTGTTCTGGCCTTCAATATCGCAGATTTCCTTGGTCAGTATTAAACTTTAAAATCCAACACGGCTTTCATGGCAATAATGCATCTCATATTCCACCTTATTAAGTTTAAATGGTAATTTATATTAACTGTAGGTCGAAGAAGGGAATTGATTCTGTCTTCTGTACTATATCTTATTGGAGCAGTGATAACAGCAATTGCGCCCGTCTACGTTCTAATGGTTATTGGACGTTTTGTTTATGGTGTAGGAATTGGTTTGGTATGATACTTCCATCACATTAATGTTTGTACGATGATCCTTTAAAAAAATATGGTCATTTGCATGTTAATAAGATATGGTCATTTGCATGTTAATAAGGGACATGTACATGCATATTTTTTGCACCCAAAAGTCCATGTTAAGGTGCTGCAAGGCATGCTTGTCACTCAAATTTTATGTACTTCATTGACTAGCTTGACCCATCAAAGTAAACACTTCATTGGTAGTGTTTGAAATGAAATATGATTTTTCAAAAGTAAAAGTTGAGTGTTTGGTAAGGCTTGCTCATAATGCACCCTTGTGAAGAGATCCTTCCTGGACCCTCGCCCTGCAGGGACGCCAATGTGCATCGGACTGCCCCTAGAAGTAGAGTATTTGGCAAAAAACATTTGTTTTTCTGTAACCGAAAAAGTGAAAAGCAGTGTAAAGCACCTCATGCATACAACTTTTAGATTTAAGTTGCCTAATTTAAGCAGAAGCACCGACTTTAAAAACACTACTCTTAGCCTTTTCAAAGAAAAAGCAGAAAAGCATTTTTTTAAAGCAACGGAAAACACTACTTTAAGCTTCTTTGACGCAAAAAGCAGAATGGTCACTTTTTAGGTAATGGAAAACACTACTTTTAGCCCCTATAAAGTAAAAAACAGAAAATCACCGTTTTAAGTAATGTAAAACTCTCCTTTAACACTCAGAACCTACAAGTTTATGAAGAACTGATGGAAAATTAAATGGCACATCTTTAAAAACTTTTGATGTATATGCTCTCTCTCTCTCTGGACATATACGTGACAGGCGATGCATGCTGCTCCAATGTACATTGCAGAGACATCACCAAGCCAGATAAGAGGGTTGCTTATTTCTCTTAAAGAGTTTCTCATAGTCTTCGGAATGCTAGTAAGTACAAAGTGAACTATACCTTGAAGCATTTTGTGTGCCTGCTCAAAGCTCAGAAAAGTAATCATGTGTGTGTTTCTCATGACCATATGTAGTTGGGCTATACAGTTGGTAGCCTTCTGGTGGAAGCAGTTTCTGGTTGGCGGTATATGTATGGAATTAGCGCTCCGTTATCAATTTTTATGGGAATTGGAATGTGGTGGCTTCCTGCATCGCCTAGGTGGATTCTTCTAAGCGCCATTCAAGGAAAGGGTGATACGCGGGATCTACGAGAGACAGCTGTACATTGCCTTTGCAAGCTGAGGGGTGATGCAGTTGGGGATTCAGCATATGATCAGGTGGATGAGATTCTATCTGAGCTTTCTCATCTAAGTGAAGAAAAAGAAACTACCTTTACTGAAATATTTCAAGGAAAGTGTTTGAAAGCCCTAACCATAGGTGCAGGACTGGTCATGTTCCAACAGGTACCTTTTATATGATTCACCCACTTTTAGTCATGCGATTCGACCTAGGTGTTATTCGGAGTTTTGTCTTTGCTGACTTCTTACAGATTACTGGGCAACCTAGTGTTTTGTATTATGCAGCAAAAATATTCCAGGTAAACATTTTCAGACAGGGCAGAAATTTACTGTTTTATGCAATTTCAAAGATAAAAAATATCTGTTTGCTCTCCCTCCTTTCTCACCCTTGAACTGTACTCGTCTGGCAAAACTTAGGATGCTGGATTTGCTGCCGCAGCTGACGCCACAAGGGCCTCAATCTTTCTTGGGTTGTTGAAGGTCGTTTCTTGAAAAGTAACTCTTTCCCTCTTTCACACATATTTTGTTATCTATTATGTCTGTCTTCATGTTTCAGGCATTCAGATCTAACAGTACATGTTTCACACTTTCATCTGAATTTAAAGTTTAAACATTTGGTAGAATCTACTATCTGCATTAATAATTTAATATAAAGCCATTATTAATTCCTTTATTTTTAAATTACCCCCGGTCTTTATTGTAAGGCACAACTTTAGCTTCCACACAGACCAAGGAAATGATTAAAGTCATTTAATATAATCTTCTCATTCCTAATATGCCTTTAAGCATTTCATTGGTAATGTGTTTTATGGTTTTCAAAAGGGGCAATTATTGAAGGAAAAATTTGGCCATGTATGATACAGGTGACTTATATTTATGACTATGACAGTATGCCCTATAAATAGGACTGTATGCAGCATCAATTGATATAAATGTGTGACCCATTTTCTTGCCTCTTAGCGTCTCCTTTCGTATTTTCTACTCCCAGTTGAAGTTATGCATGACCTGCTTCAACTACATGTATGCCTTGTTTTGTGTTATTTAAATTGCATGGCTCTAATAATTAGCCATTGTTTGTTACAGCTGATTATGACAGGTGTGGCAGTTGTAGTTGTTGATAGACTTGGGAGAAGACCTCTTCTACTTGGAGGCGTCTCTGGAATTGTACGCTCTCTTTATTTCAGAAGTATCTTATTTTTCTAAACTGTACTTCGCATACTGCATATGTTAACTTATTTTGTTAAGATTGTTCTCGTAAACAAGAAAACTGTTTTGGAAAGAAAAATGGTTAAAGAAATTAAATTCTTTTCTTTAGTTCATCTTGAAAATGTGAAGAAAAATAGAATACTATGAAAATTCTCTAAATGCTCTCCTAGTATTTATATTTTCCGTCTTTATGTAATACAAATTAGAATAAATATAAATGAACGTATACATAAGATTGAGTTTAAATTTTATGGTTTCTAGATAAAGCAGAGTGCATATATTAAGGAATTTGGTTCCTCTCCAGTACTGGAGAGTGTCATTTGGAGAGAGGAAGAGGCAAAGAAAATTGTGTTTGGGGTAGGAAAAGAAAAAAGGTGGAGAAAAAAAAAGAAATGCAGAAAATGAAATCGGGAGGAACCCTCCCCTACATTAGGTTTGTCAATATTATTAAATGCCCTAAATAGGCATGTCTAAATTTGGCAGGCAGTGGCTTTATTTCTTCTGGGATCATATTACACCTTTCTTGGTAATGCCCTGCCTGTTGCTGTCATTGCTCTGCTATTGTATGTTGGGTGTTACCAGGTAATATTATGTCTGTTTTTTGTGAATTTATTTATGTGAGATATGTCCCTAATGACTTGTATTTTTGCAGTTATCATTTGGTCCGATTGGGTGGCTGATGATTTCAGAGATCTTTCCTTTGCGGGTGAGAGGGAAGGGATTAAGCATTGCAGTTCTTGTGAATTTTGGCCTTAATGCAATTGTGACCTTTGCGTTTTCTCCTATGGAGGTAACTTAAACTGTTTGAGTACACTCAATAATCAATTTCTTGATCTTCGATAATTTCACAAGACTTACGGTTATGCGAATGTGCAGGACTTGGTTGGAGCTGGAAACGTGTTCTTCATATTTGGTTGCATAGCCATTGCAGCTCTTATTTTCGTCTTCTTCATTGTTCCGGAGACAAAGGGGCTAACGTTGGAGGAGATCGAGGCCAAATATCTTTGTTAAATATTGTCACAGTAGAGGCACCACCGGTCTCCACCTATGCACGACGGTCTCTTACTATCGCATAATATGGTTCTTCTGAGTATAATCTGTTTTTCCTTGTGCATAGGTGTTATTAAAATGTATTTGGGTATCTAATACAAAACATTTGAAATATCTAGAGGTGATACGGAGTATGATTTATCTGTGGATATTTCCCTATTTGGAACCATTGCAAAGTGAAATTAACTTTCCAGCAGTGGCTGTGAAAACTGATGACCCTGGACTAGCAATTTTGACTGTTTCAGCCTTTCAGGTGTAGAGACGAGAACCGAAATTCTAATAGGAATTGGAACCGGACTGATTCATGGCCGGCCGGTTGCTGGTTCCGATTCTGTCATCGGACCATTTCTTGGTGCAACTTTGGGCAAAAAATGACTGGTATTGTGTGCGCTTGGCGTATAGTAAGATATGGTTATGACATTTTCTGACCATTTTTTTGTTTCTTACGTAGGAATGGACCCGGGCCGGGCCGGGCCGGTTCATTTTTTTTATTTCTTATTTATTTCACCCCCATCCCCCATCCCCCCAAACCTCTCGGAAATACCCAGCCTAACTAAACCCAGCCCAAATCCAAAAAAACAAAAAAAAAGAAATTAAAAAAGGCCCGAACCGGAACCGGCCGGGCCGGTTCGCCTTTTCCTTGACCCGGGCCTGGAACCGCCTAACCCCTCGGACCTAGGCCTGAACCGTAACCGGAAGCGGTTTCCTGGGCCGGTCCGGTTCCGGGCCAGGCGGCTCGAACTGAGTCCATCCCTATTCTTACGTACAAAAATATCTATTCCATTCAACTTGTATTTGGAAAATAAAATTTCACCTAAAAAGAGAGTCCAGTTTTGTAATATGGAACTAATTTAATGTAATTTGTTAAAAATTACCCAAAAAGTCTAGAAAGAAGTTATTCATAAAATTTTGGTAGAATAATCAAATAACTTTTAAAAGTATTCTCCTGATGGAGTATATGGCCCGGGAACCCCGACCCACAGACTCCTACTACTCCAGCAAAGGCTCAAAAGGCCCAACAGGCCCAAATCACAGCGTCCAGAGTACCAAGCAGTCCGCACAACGCACAGGGGTGTCTTCGGCCCCCTGGCCGAAGGCTCCAAATTCTCACAGAGCGGGTTTCTCAAGCAAACTAAGAAACTGGGAGAAAACGGCGAAAACAGCAGCCCTCGGCACTGTGAGCCCTCGGCACCAGGGTGCCATCGGATGGAAGAGCCCTCGGCTACTGCTCTATAGCCGAAGGCATCTCACTCGACAAGATATCCGCCTCACATGCGTACAGATCACCGTACCCCGCACAGACGTCCCATCCAACAGCCGCATTAAATGCGGCCACATGCGGCTGCCAGCGCCAACCAGTTGAGGTGACCCCTCGGCCAATGAGCGCTTGACACGTGTCCCTGCTCGGCATTTATTGCTACTATAAATAGCACCCCTTTTCCCCATTTGTAACCAAGTCATAACACGCTGAAAACACTCCGCATTTATAATACATTTTCTCTCTCTACTTTTACTTACTTGCTCTGACTTCTCTCTAAGTTATTCCCCGTAATAACCCTTCGGATCTATACCCCCGGGTAGACTATCCATCATTTGGTGCTCTCGTTGAGAGGTTGAACAATCGAGTAAGAAACCCTCCCCCTCGACCAAACACAAAACACTAGCCCTCTATCAAAATGGTGAGGACAACACGTGCCAACTCAAAAAACATAGAAGACAAGAACCTGCCCCTCGGCGACGTCAACGCCCCCGAAGCCTCTCACAGGGCTCCCGAGGGCGGTGTCATCGCTGGGCTGGAACAGGCGGCTGTCGACCTACGCCTTCAGATCCAACAAAATGCCCCCGATGCCCGCCTCGGCATCGAGGCCAAGAAGAAAAACCGGAGTGATGACCAAGTCAGCCCTCCGGTTCTCACCATCGACGTGCAATCGGCGCTCTCCGCCTTCATCCAGACGCTCACCCAAAACCCGGGTGCCTTCGGCACCCTGGCTCCAGCTCACCCTCAGATCGGGGAAAATATCATACTTCCCCCTCTGCCACACCCCTTCGGAAATCCCACCCCTCGGGTGAGAAATGATGAAGGGGTGGTGGCCCAAGACACGTCCTCCCAGGAAGTTCAATCCCGGGACCGCCATAATGACAACAGGGAAAGGCCCCGTACTTCCGCCCTCAACCGGCTCGGAGGAGGGCCAGACCGCCGAGGGGTCCAAGACCGCCTCGGGGGGAAAGCACTCCAAAGGCCCCAGGAAAGCGGGGGATCTGTTTCGAGGGCAGACGAGGAGCGTCCCCCTCGGGACAAAGGCAAGACACCCCTTCACGCCGATGATGCTCGGCACCAAATCAACCAGGCCCACTCGGCCCGGGTTCGTTCGCAGGGGGCGGAGACCCTCCCGAAGGATCCCCGGGACGAGATTATTGCGGCCCTCCAACGCCGGCTTGACGAGATGGAGTCCAACAAAGCTCACGCCACCACCTCCACCCCTCATTCAGATCTCAAATACGAGGCCATGATGGCCAAAATGGAGGAGTTACAGAAGAAGGTGGCCGAGGGCTCCGGGGAACCCGTCATCCAGCTCCGGACTCGGACGCCATTTACTCCAAGGGTATTGGCGGCCCGAATCCCAGAAAAATACCGAGGGCAACATATACAGCCCTACAGCGGGAAAACGGACCCCCAGGAACATTACAGCAAATACCAGAACAGCATGATGATGGTGGGGGCGTCAGACGAATATTTGTGTCGTTGGTTCCTCTCCACCTTAGAGGGACCAGCATACGAATGGTTCAACAGGCTGCCCGAGGGCTGCATTGATTCGTGGCAAGAACTCGCCCAGCGATTCTTGACACAATTTGCCGGGAGACGTCGCACAAGGAAGCACTTCTCCCACCTCCTAACAATACGCCAGAAGAAGGATGAGACCCTTCGGGATTTCCTAGAGCGCTGGAGGACGGAGGCTGACAAGGTCGACGGTGCTGATGACGGGACCCTCCTGGCCCTCCTACAAACCGTCCTCCGCACCGGCAACTTTTAAAGGAGCCTCATCATTGAACCCCCCCGCGACTACATAAGGGCCTTGCAGCGGGGGGACCGATATGCTGAGGCCGAGGAGGTGGAGAAGTATCACCAGCATCCGGACCAGCAGCCCCCGAGGGCTGACAACAAGCATAACCGAGGGCCGGGGGCTCCTCCAAATCACCCCAAGGCTTCGGGACCCTCTGGTGACCGCCCTCGGCAAGGCCAAGCCAAGCCCGGGGGAGGTTATAAAGGCAACCCTAAGACTTGGGCTCAGCCCATTCTCCTGGACCGCCCTCGTACACCATTGACGCACCCCGTCAGCATCATCCTCGATTTTGCCGAGGAGAGGGGCCTCGTTGAGCGCGACTCTCGCGCGCCCCCGGAGGTGCATGCTATCAACCCTCAGTTCCCATACTGTCGCTTCCATCGACACCAGGGGCACAGGACCGATGACTGCCATCAGCTGAAGACGGCCATCGAGAGGTTAATACAAGCAGGGCACCTGTCCCAATTTGTCCAGAGCCCTCGGCAGGAGGGACCTTCTCATCAGAGGCCTCCCCGAGGGCATCACACGAAGGTGAACGCTTGGGTAAACCCGAATACCATCCCCCTCGGCAAGAAAAGGGAGATTGGAAACTTGGAAGAAGAGGAGGAGGAATACCCCCACTACCAGGAGAAAAAACGCCACATCCTCATGATCACCGGTGGCAACACAGGGGGCGATTCCACCAGCCAGCGAAAGAAGTGGGCTCAATCGCTTTACGTAGGGGAAGTCACTCATATGCCCCCGGTAAAGCGATTGAGGGAGGAACCCATCACCTTCACCAACGCAGATCTCCCTCCTACTTCTTCTCCTCACAGGGATGCCTTGGTGATTCGAACGGAGATCAACGACACCATCATTCACCGAACTTACGTTGACACGGGCAGCTCCGTCAATGTAATGTACCTCAGCACCTTCAGAGAGCTGCATCTGGAGAGGGGGTCCCTTCGGCCCATTAAGACCCCTCTTGCCGGCTTCACCGGCGACACTATTGATTCCGAGGGGGTAATAACCCTCCCGGTGATCTTCGGCGACGGGCTCCATAGAGCCCAGCTCGAGGTGGAGTTCGTCGTCGTCAACATTGACTGCGCCCACAACATCATCCTCGGCCGGCCAGCCCTCGAGGACCTCGAAGCCATCATCTCCATGAGGCATCTCTACCTCAAGTTTCCCGCCGAGGGGGGCATTGGCTACTCCCGGGGGAACCAAAAAATTGCCCGCGCCTGCTATCTTCAGGTCACTAAGAAGGTCAGCAAGACGGAATTCCGTGTTGACACCATCACCGGAGCCGTCGACCAAGAGGAAAGAAGACCGAGGGCTGAACCGGCCAAAGACGTAGAAGACTTTGCGCTCGATCCGGCCCAGCCAGAGAGAGTCATGAAGATTGGAGCCCAGCTCCCTGAAGATTTGAAGACCGGTATCACCGACGCCCTCCGCGCCTACTCCACTGTCTTTGCATGGGGGCCGGAGGACATGCCGGGAATCAGCCGAAGGGTCATCACCCACCGCCTCTCGGTGGACCCTTCGGCAAAGGCAGTGCAGCAACGAAGAAGGCCCCTCTCCGCCGAGAGGAGGGAATTTGTGAAGAAGGAGGTCGCCATGCTCCTCTCTATTAAGCACATTAAGGAGGTAAAATACCCCTCATGGCTGGCGAATGTAGTCCTCGCACAGAAGCCCCCTACCTTCCGCATGTGCGTGGACTACACTGATCTCAACAAAGCATGCCCTATGGATCCATTCCCTCTACCAAACATTGATCAATTGGTGGATGAGACCGCAGGGTGTGAAATCATGTCCTTCCTCGATGCCTTCCGAGGGTACCATCAAATATTCATGCACGAGGAGGACGCCGAAAAAACTGCCTTCATGACTCCCGAGGGCATCTTCTGCTACCTAGTGATGGCCTTCGGCCTAAAGAACTCGGGGGCCACTTACACCCGGATGGTGGCCCGGGTCTTTCAAGCCGTCCTAGGGCGCACCATGGAGGCCTATGTCGACGACATGATCGTCAAGAGCAAGCAATCTTCCAGCCATGCTGACGACCTCCGGGAAATCTTCGCCATCATGCAAAAATTCAACCTTCGGCTAAACCCGAAGAAGTGCACCTTCGGCGTCCAAGGGGGCAAGTTCTTGGGTTACATGGTGAGCCGAAGGGGTATTGAG